TCCGAGACACATAAACCCCTAAACCCTGAACACTGAACCCAACCAAAAGAATCGCACTAAAAGGTTTAAAGCTTAAATTCGTGCGGACTCAGCTCGCAGGCTATACCGCAGTGCCCAACCGTGAGGTGAGAGCAAACTCTGCTTCTGGGCTGCGGTGTTGTGGGGTCTTTGGGGCTCAGGTTGTCGGAAAGATTTTGAAGTTTTTGGTACCAGAAGTCAAGATGAGAAGACTCGCGTACGAACAACCGCTGCCACGATTGACAGTGCTTCAAGCTTGTCATGCCCGCCATAAGTGTTTGCCTGAGTGCGACATCCGTTCCGCCCGGAATGTGAAAGAGGCATTTGTCAGACATGAGTGAGCTCGCCCACGTCATTGATTTCTGAAAAGTCTGGAATGTCGACACCAAAACCTTGATCACAAGACCTGAATCGCTTGCACCCCTTCACCCTGATACTAAGTGGCCTTGCATGATTGGCGGTTATGTTTTCATTGAAGGTCGCAGTCAGTAGCAGAGACCACGAAGTGTATGTTATGCGTCTGAGATCGTCCGGGTACTTACGCGTAGCCAACTATTCTGATATTCGTTTGGCAGCGGCTTCAAGTTTGAGGTGTAGGGACTGCAACGTGTCTCGGCGTCGGGTTGCTTGGTCGATGGGCCAACCGACAACATGAACGAGCAACGTGGGAACAGGCATGTACTGTGAGGTACTGGGTGCGCCCTGGGGCCCCTATATGTACAGCATTTTGCATCATTTTCGCGTGTTTTAGAACGACAATTACTTTTGAAATAGAAGGGTGGTGTAACACTTGTAAATGCGCTGCACTCAGTTCCAGATCACTTCGTATTGCATTGGTTTCGGTCATTCCATAAACTAGATCTTTTTCCATGCAAGCATTTTGCAGTAATCGTTCGAACGAGAAAGTGTTGACTATGTTGATAACAGTCAAGCATGATAAAGGAACCTATGTACTCGTGCCACAAGAGTTTGGAGTATACCCGCACTGAGTCCAGAAGATGTGGTCTCAGCATACCGCCACATATGATAGCCTAGAGCCATGTCTTGCATGTGGTTTACCGTATTTCATCAACTATATAAGTGAAAATGACGTTGCTTATGGAACTTGCACGCCAACGTGTATGTAACTCTTATGCAAATCAATGCCAGGGTCTGGCCTGACCATCTTTGTAGCTTTTGTTAACATTACCGTTGGGGACCAGTTTGGCATTTTAGCTTCGAACCTGAATGTGGGTTGCATGCCTATCAGATTATCTTATAAAGTAAATTGGCACACGCATGTCTGCATGGCTTCTATGTAACAGGCGGTGGCTATAAAATGCATCCTATCAACATAGCGGGACGACGGTATCTTCCGACTATTGGTTTTGTCAAGGATGAGTGTCTCTATGTCGTGTTGTTTTGCTCGTAAACCCTCGTATCAAATCACTCCTTGAACTCAAGTAAGTATATGGATGCTACTGTCAATCCCCGTTGTATGTGTCGATAAACGCTTTGGGGATCTGATAGAGACTTATTCTGACGAGCCTCGCAAAAACACCTGGCATCGAGGACTACTGCGGGTAGTCTCCTGACACATTTATTTCGTGCGGGCGTGTCCCTTTCGATATCTATGACCTTGGCACATGGCTATAGCATATCCTCAACACAACATCTTTTCCATGTCCATTGCTGTGAAGGCAATACTGCACGAGCTCCCGCCCTCGCATTTACACACACTCTGACACTATGCTTGTTTTTTTGCTTCGAAGACCCTTTGAACTTGAATTCCTACTGTCCGCTTTGCGAAAGTGCATATTACAGCACGCTCATTGTCTTTGATGAGGTCCCCCTTCAGCTTGAATACTGAAACAGAACGACTCCCTCATAAAAGCATTCATGTTAGATGGCCCTATAGAGCCGCAGCATATGCTCAGAAACCCAACATGTCCTCAATGGTGTCCTTTAGAGTCATTTGGAGCCTACAAGTTTCACTTTGCCGGTTCCTAGGGCTTCTAAAAAAGCCTTCGTATTTCATGAGCACAATCTGTATCCACATGTATTCGACTTATACGGTGAAACTTGAAGATCCGAAAATGGGACCGTGGTCTTGAACTAACCTTCCAACCTTGTTCAGTTCACGTGCGGATTCTCCGTTAAAAACTTTCATTTTCAGATGTGTAACCAAAAGCAATGTGCTTTCATTTGCTTCAGTATATCATCATACGACTAGGAGAATACAAGCTGCCACAAGTCTGAGTTTGAGAAGCGACCTGGGCTAACCAAAATAATCTTCTTGTAAGACCGACGAAGCAAGAGTGCGTTATCTGCCAGCATGCTGTAGAAGTCCTGCGCCCCACATATAGCACACGTGGATGGATGTATACCGCAACAACACCCTGTAAGCAATACATGTATTCTCCAACCTAATTCCACATTTCTCACTGCCTCCCAGTCTGTAGTGTCAAGCCTTTGCACGCTTCAGGACAGCATCACCAGACTTGTTTTTGTTTTGGTATTTTCTGCCCGTATATGCAAGATAGGTAGCTGGTGCAATCGTGTTTACCGCTTTGCATAAGCTCTCTGCCATCGATGTTGGGACGGACAGGCTACCACGGTTACCCTACATGTATATTAGATGGAAACCTTGCATATATAACATATGTGGGACTGTTGTTTCGCCTTTGATACGCTGTAGCAGCGGTTCCGCAAGTTTAGTTTTCAAGCATTTCATTCGAGACGTGAGTATGAACATCCATTGTATTCGTTTGTTGGCTTCATTAAAGTGCACTTTTTAAATTGAACTTGACATGCATGATGACAATGCTGGATTGTAGCCTTGCCAACATCATATGACGTAGTGGTGCATCCGGGAAGCGATGCATTCTGAGTATGCCACCGCGTTGAAGGCGAAGATGATTACCGCTGGAGCTGACTTCACGTGGAAAATGGTTGGATTCACATTGTCACATGAAGCTATATCTCTTGCCATACATCATATTTTAAGTTTGAACATAAACCTCGATGCAGACCAGAAAATTACACAGGAATTCAGGTGCCCAGCCGCGCACGCGCGTGCGGAGCTAAATTCATAGACCACAGGCAGCCGAGGCCGCTAGCCTCCAAGCCTTCCCTGGAGGCCTGGGGGGGGGGTGAGGTCCAAACAAATAAAAATAAAATTTGGTCCGAACCAGGACGTCCAGATTTTGTTTTTTTCTGGACCCCCCTCCCCCCAAACCCTCTGGGGCTGGCTGCAGCCTTCCCATCCTAATATGTTTGCACTACATTCTACATTGATATGCGATTAATCGCTTCCCCCTATTATTAAACACCCTCCTAATATTAAAACTGCCGGCCCCGGGATTTCGCGGTTTCGGGCCCACAAATTGAAAGTTAATTAAAAACAGTAGGGGGGGCCTGGAGATTGTATGAGTTTTAATAGAGCCAAGACTACAGAGTACTAAACCAAAGGACCAGGGCTTTAGGGGTTAAGGGCTCAGGGCTTAAGATTTTAGGGTTTAAGGCTTTAGGGTTTAAAGCTTAGGGCTTAAGGCTTTGGTGTC